TGTCTTGCCCCCAGTCTATCAAAAAATGTCCTGTTACCATCCACTTTTACTCGAACTTACTGCATTATTAAATATTCTTGCTACTGGCCAGTGCGACATCGTCTTCTGTTGGTTACCCAGCCACGTTGGAATTACTGGTAATACGATGGCTGATGCTGCTGCAAAGGCTGCGCTCAACAACTCTGTGACACCACTTCTTATCCCATACAGCGATTATAAACCTGTAATTAGATGCTAAATCAGAAATCTAGTGCAAAAGAAGTAGGACACCCAAGTAGGTATCAATAAATTACATCAAATCAAACCAACCATCGGTTACACCTACTTGGGTTGTCGTATTGGGTTGACGCTGTCGTATTGGCCATTCTAGGTATACTCATAAATATTTATTAAAAGGTGAAGATCCTCCATTTTGTATCCCTTGTGATGAAAGAATAACAGTCAAGCATGTCAACGATTTCTCCACCACAAGGGATAACTATTTCAAAGTTTCAACCACGAAAGATCTTTTTAGCATAAATTCTCGTTTAATAATAGGTGTTTATAAAGAAATTGAGTTGCTGCATAAATTTTGATCAATATGTTCTGAATATAATAAATGAAGTTTTATGTTTTGTCGAATGTTCCTGAATTTGCTTGTGGCAGTACCCTCAATGACAACTGAAGTAGCGTAGAATATCTGTGCCCCTGAGAGGGTACGTAAGACCACGTCATTCAAAGTACATATATTCATATCATGTTTTTAATACTAGGATATGTTTTTATTTAAGTCATGACTAAGCCGGTCTTCAGCAATTTGTTTCCGGTGGGAACCGTTGTTATAACAATTATTGCGAACAAGTATCCAGAAAGGTCCGTTACACTGCCTCACTAGATTGGTTATATTGGATTATTGGAAAGAGAGAAAGGAGCAGCTTTCTTATCAGATATCAAAGATGCAATTGTTCTGGATATTGGTGGCACACCAACTGATGTAGGCGTTCTCAAGAACAGATTTCCAAGAGAAGCTTCCACTGAAGTAAATAGTGGAGGGATCAGGACAAACTTTCGAATCCAGATGTTCTCAGTATTGGCCTTGGCGATGGGTCGTATGTGACAGAAAACACGCTTGGGTCAGTTAGTATTGGTCCGTTCAGTGCTGAAGAATGAAGCCTTCATATTTGGTAATGGTGACACGAAGCAACATCTGATGTTGCTGTTGCTGCTGGATTGATGAAACTTGGAGAGATCTGAAGGAGGTTGCGGAGATAGACTGAAGCTGATCCGGAGATACATTGGAAGGTAAGGGACAGGAAACCAGTGAAGAGATGTGTCTACTGGGGTGATGTGTGTGCCTGAATGGGAGCTAGATATACAATTCGTGTTTTGAACACGAAGTCTATTGTTCAGAGATTTGGGAGCATTAATCAAGAGGCTGTTACAGTAATCAAGACGTGCGATGACTAGCGAGATAATGATGGTTATTGTTGCACTGGCGGAAAGGTGTTTTCTGATACATTTCTGGATATATTACTGGGCCTCCATAGTCATTTGGGAGTCAAATTTGACTCCATGGTTCCAGGCTGAGCTGACAAGAGGAATCAGTGTTGTTCCAACTGTAATGCTGCCAAGCAGTGCTTTTTTTGTATTCAACCCAGTTAGGACTTCCTCTGTTTTCTTGTCGTTCCGCTTCAGTGTATTTGCTGTCATCTTGTGTGTGATGTCTGAGTAGCACTGACTGATCTGCGTGTGAGCTGCTGATGCTGAGGATGGACCCGTTCTTAAGATGTTGATGATCTGGGCATCATCAGCATAGAAGGGCTTCGGAAGATCATAGTTTCCAATATGATTTCACCCAATTGTCGAATGTAGAGGGTAAATAACAGTGGTCCGAGCACTGAACCTTGTGGAACAACACGTCCATGCTCAAGCGCCGATGAAGATACCCCATTCATATGAATTGACTGATGCCTGTTAACGAAATAGGATTTGTAGCAAGCAAATGCAGTTCCATCCATACCGATGTCAATTTGAAGACGGGACTGAAGGCTACTGTGGTCGATGGTGGCAAAGGCTGCGCTAAGATCAAGTAAAACCAGTAGGACTTGCATTGCCATGGTAAAATCCATTTTGCAGAGCTGTCTCAGTGCTATGATTTGGTCGGTATGGAGATCGGTAGGTCTCGTGAAGATCATATAATGACAGTTGTTCTGATTGACGTTTGCACACCGCTCTCTCACTGAGTTTTTAAATGTATGGAAGGTTGGAAACAGGACGGTAGTTCTTCAATACATCACGCCAAGACCAGATTTTTCTCAAGAGAGTGCAGTATACAAAGAGTTTTGTTTGATTCCGTTGGCTAGACTGCGGTTGACCACTGGCGTCACAACAGGCAGGAGGATGTCAATGTTGTCGATAGTCAGCGTTGGAGGAAGGGGATCTAAGGGACAAGTAGCTGGTTTGAGTCTTCTAATCAACTTCATCATCTCAGCTTCAGAGGCTCGAAAACAGTTAAACGTTCATTCTCAAACATGACAGGATCGTTGTCATAGGCGTCATGAAACTGCTGACTAGTTGCCTCGATCTTGTCACAGAAATACGTCTACAGATAGAAGGAAGGATCAATCCTTTTACCCATCAGGGAGATCATAACCTTATACAACGCACTGGGATCAGATGTAATTTCCTCAATTTTAGCATTAATGTATGTGTCTTTTGTTTGTCTATCTGTCTTATTGGCAGCGTTCTGGCCAGAGACATATATCTGGTGATGGTGTTCAAGTTTAGTTTTTCTCCACTTGCGCTCAGCTTTCCTACTATCTGACTTTGCCCTATTTACATCCTCTGTATATAGCCAACGGGAGTTTGGTCTGTATGGAACACTTTTTGTCGCTTCAGATGCATTCTTGTCTAACAGTTCACTGAGCACATTGTTATACATGTCAACAAAGTCTCAGACGTTAATTGCAGCTTCTAACAGAAGCGGAGAAATATCATTTCTGAATGCTTGCATGTTGATTTCTTTAATTGTTTGCATGTTATGGCTTTGACAGGAGGTTTAGGTCGGCTGGTATCCAAACACAGGGTTATCGTGTGATGATCAGAAAGTTGCATATCAGTCACTGTAGTAGATTGAATAAGAAAGCTGAGGACCCAGTCGAGAATATGGTGACTTTTGTGGGATGATAGGATCGCAGAAGAGACATCATCATTGACGTGTTTGGATCACTCTGACTATCGTAGTGAAAGTTCAAGTCTCGCATAACGAGTGATCTCCCCTGTTCAACAAATATATGGTCATGCAGTGATGGAAACATGTTGGGTGTTAGCTTATTTTTTCTTGAAGGAGGGGGGCGATAGATAACACAGGCATGTTATCTGTAAATTCCATACACTCAAAACTGCAAAGTCCATATTTTGTGAATGGCTGAATTTCAATTTCAGATAGTCTCTGTACACAGCAGCGATTCCTCCGCCACGTAACGGGCATGGCTTATGTTCAAACCTGTATCCACTCGGTGTCATACTTGCTATTTTGGTTTTATCGCCGGATTGACGTAACCATGTCTCTTTCGTGATGAGGATATCAATGTTCTTGTTCATTATAATATCAGGGATTTCCTCGCAATTGTTCCGGTTTCAAACGGACGTTGTTTTTATGGTACAAGATAAATCAAGTTGTAAGTTTTGACACCTCGATTCTGATTTGCTGGTGGTTGAGGTTGATGACCAGTCAGTACACTGACGAGTCTCTGTTTTCTCCTCCCGGATCTCTTACCCCCTATGGGAGGAAGCCTCCTTCGTCGATTGTTTACTTGCAAACCTCTCAATGCTGATTGACTTACAAAGGGTATTGAAGAGTGGGCATGTGCTAGCTCATATCGTTGTCCAATTACAAAGAGGTGTTGTCTGGTGTAAGACAATCTGGTCACCGCGATCATAACTTGGCTTGGGCACATCCAAGTTGAACAAAAGAGGCACAGATAATATCATCAAAAGAGTGTATATTAAAACACATTTTTTAACAGAATATCGGTGGAGCATGATGAAGAGTTCACAGTGTTCGCGGTAGGTTTTGTACCAGTGCGTACAGAAATACAATAATATATATGTAGGCCAAATCTTTTGCATGTGAAATTTTCATTACAATACCATCATTATCATAACAAATAATTATAATTATAAGCTTTAACTTACCTTCCAATGTTTGAATATAATGAACGATCATTATGTGACTGTCGTTTGCCTATACCGTGTGATGAAGTCACTTATTGACTACCGACGATCGTTAATAGTGGTCTTACATATCGTTCCTATTACTGATCATATTATTAATTGCAACCTGGGCTTTGATTTGTTGAAGTGAACAATTCTGGGAATTCCTTTGACAGTAACCAATGACATCCTGTGTATGTGATTAATTATTCCCTTGTCCATTTCATTATATAACATGGCATATGAGTGACGTAGTTTTGGCGGCCAAGTTCGTAGACGGTAACCTGGGCGAAATTATCCTAAATATCGTGACAAGTAACGGATTTTCCGATAGTCAACTGTAAAAGACCTATGACTGCTAATGATGTCGACTGCTGAGACATAACAATATGATGTTATTGCTATGTAATTCGTGTATGTATTAAAGATATTCTAGTGAAAATATTTGTAACATGTACAATTCTTATTATCTATTTGAATGTCGATTATATTCAGCTTAGAGAGAAGTGTCTAATTTCGCAGCAATGTCAAAAACAATATAAACTGTAAATCAGAATCTGTTTTGCGTGTTTTATCATTTTTTTGCGTGAAATACGCAGGTTTCTGCGTTAACGGGAACACTTTGGTCACAGTTCATGTGTAAAACATGCTGTTGTCTGAAGACCATATCCAAGAGAAAAATCAAGAACACGGGGGATCAACGCTTGGTCCCGCTGCCTGTTGTACATTTGACCATGATGCCTTTATAACAAGCGATAGAATGCTAATGTCAAGGGATGCAACACACCTGGAACACAGCAACAGTATAAAGTGGACACTCTTTATTCATTGCTAAAGAAAACGTTTTACAAAAAGCGCAAAAATGGAAACGATGTTCAGAATCAAAATCAATCGTAAAACTGAAAAAGTATCACATAAACAAGTTTAAACGTGACGTATATACTTATGTATGTATACTGTGTGTATGTAAACTGTTTTAACATGGTTTCGACGAACTACACGTAAGATCTTGTCTTAAAGCACGTAAAGGTGTGGAACAAAAACACACGGAGTGAGTCACGTGATCGCACATACATTGAAATAAAATCGCGCAGGCATTGCTAAACAGTGAGTATGACGTGGCTCTCAATCGGCTGGGTCGTTGTCTACAGAAGTGTCACATAATCAATAGCTTCTGCTTCAGCAGACATTCTGTTCACGTGGAATTGGATTGAAAACCTTTCAGAAATGAATGTGCGTACATAAAATCACAAATGTTTTGGTGCGTAATATTCATTTTATGCATAAAGTTTAGAAAAGCAAACATCTAAATACATAGGATAAGGCGTTCTTCGTTGTGATAACTAGTACCCAAACCTTTACTTGAGAATAAAACATTTTGAAACTGAACTGAACATTCGAAGCCAGTGAGCCAGAGTGTTTTCATTTGTTCATAGCTGGTGACGAGATGTAACCTAAATTAACTGTCCATTATATTATCTGGATAGAATTTACCTGTGAGAGAAATCATAAAGTTCGAAAAAATGCAGTCATCACCTCCAAAGTAGATTGTTTCACCTGAGTAGCTTGTGCAGGTGTTTTACAGGTGTTTCATGGTGTGTCAGTTTGATGTGGGATGAATATCCAAGTGACACGGATCTCACATATACATGTATACTACCTACTAGCAAGGTGACGATGCAAACAGACCAAACATCACCCCAAACATATAAGTAGGTCAATGACCTGTGGTGGATAGTGTTCCAGTTTTATCATGGCGACCAAGGGTCATCTCAAATATATAATGACTTGTGGTGAATAGTGTTTCAGTTGTATCATGGCGACCAAGGATCATCTCAACTATATAATGACTTCTGGAGAATAGTGTTTCAGCTCTATCATGGCGACCAAACATCACAACAAATACATAAGTAGGTCAATGACCTGTGATGAATAGTGTTCTAGTTCTATCACGGCGACCAAACATCACAACAAATATATAAGTAGGTCAATGACCTGTGATGAATAGTGTTCTAGTTCTATCATGGCGACCAAGGATTATCTCAAATATGTAAGTAGGTCAATGACCTGTGATGAATAGTGTTCCAGCTATATCATGGCGACCAAGGATCATCCCCAATACTTCAGGAACATAACTACCGAGTCAGTCTCACTCTCCACTTGAGGCCGACATGCGGAGGTGATCCTGCAGGTGCCCGTGTTGCTGATGCTGTACAGCACGCAGGTCTGACGTGATGCACACAGCTCGGCGCAGCTCCCGGAAGTTGCCGAATAGAGCTCCTTGACATCTGGGTTGCTTGCTAACAGTGTTGTGTCGTTGGCTGCTTTTTCGAAAACCATCCCTAGATTTTCGGAATCAGGTCGCCGTGCGTTGTCACAATTATCAACGGTCTTCTTGTCATCTGCTTCTTTAGGTTGTGTTGTAGTCGTATTGGTTGTAGCGGCTGCTGCAACTTTTTTCAGATAACCTCTCTGTGTGGTTGTAGTGGTTGTTGTTGCTGATGTAAACATAAATTGACATTGTTAATGAGCACCTTGTGCCCTTGGCGCTAAAGTATAGCATTAACATAATCAATGAAACGTATTCTCGACATTTTGATTGGACATACTTCTACACTGCATTGTCAACAAAGAGGTTCGGAAAGTCCATCAACAAAGTTTAATAAGTGAGAGAGTTATACCAGAAGACAACATATAACAATAGGTAAAATTTTAACATCGAAAATATGCAACAAAATCCCGTGAGGGAGATTAAGATAATTAAGAAAGTAAGAGCAGATAATTCTTAGAACTTTCAAGAATTGTTCGGAAAGGACCTTCTGGCAGATGCACCATGAACCTGAACTTGACAGAAAAATGTACCCCGAAATATTTATAACTACTAACAACCTCTAACTGTTCACCATGGAAGAGAAGCTTCTCATATTTTCTAAGCTTACAACCTTCCTAAATACCATTACCTTAGTTTTTTTCTATATTTACCTTTAACTGCCATTTATCACAATAATTACTTAACTTATCGATAACTTTACTATCCACTACCGCCATGTCGTCAGCAAACAGTAACATAAATATCTGCAAAACTCCAATCTGCAATACTCCTCTGATCATCATCTCCCAAAAAGTCAATAGTATCATTTACATACAGAAAAAAGGAAACGCCATACATACGCCATACATACACTCAAAATCAAAAAAAATCAGCAAAGCCTTCAATTAGTGAGACAAAAGACTTTACATTGAAATACATATTTTTAATCAATCGGAAAACTCTACCCTTAATATTAGCCTGCCACAACTTGAACAGAGATCATCCTGAAGACTGGATCAAATGCAGCCTACATAGTTAATCAGGAATAAGTATGTGTCAAACCAATAAATAACAAACAATTATGCCGTAATTAACAATTTCATTTTAAACCAATCAATACAAATCACTTCAAAGGTATTTGTGAGTGAGTGAATTTAGTTTTACGACGCACTCAGCAATATTCCAGCCATATGACGGCGGTCTGTAAATAATCGAGTCTGGACCAGACAATCCAGTGATCAAAAGCATGAGCATCGATCTGCGCAATTGGGATACAATGACATGTGTCAACCAAGTCAGCGAGCCAGACCACCCGATCCCGTCAGTCGCCTCTTACGACAAGCATGGTTTACTGAAGATCAGTATTCTAAACCGGACCTTCGCTGGTCTCAAAGGTATTAGTATGGCAGTATAAAATTATGTGGCAGTACAAATTCAGAATATGACCTTTTAGCAACACTAATCCAACTTGCAACTAAGATAAGGCAGGGTATGGTTACCACACACAATGCTGGTCTTCTGGTGACTTGAGATATACTGTGAAACGAGATTCAACTACAGCAATCTCCCATCATATACGCAAATATATAAGTTTCCACACATCTGAATAGGGTTCTATAGACACTCCAGCACTCAGTCTTCTTGTTCCATACAAGCTTTGAGTTTTTGCCGTTTTCTTTGATGACAGAAAATTCCGAAGTCAGTAAACGAAATTTGACGACTACAACCACAGGCCCTGTTGGAAGAGATATTTTGGAAGAGATCGACAGTTGCAGTCGACGATTCTTTATTTGGTACAGATCGTTCCTTTGTGACCAAATGTATTGACCAAAGAAGTATTGACTGAAGGTCTTCAAACCCAGCTCAACCTACATTAAGTGACAAACAGAAAGGGATTACGAATCGCCCTGAAATATTTCTCTTCTGATAGATGGAGTTCTGAAGTCAGCGCATGCCCTTGGGAATACATCTTAAATTGAGTTGACCAGCAATTCTGTACAGACTTCAGTGAAACAAGTAACCACTCAGGAAGGTCAATACATTTAGGAGACTTCAAAATCCAGTCGAGAGGTGTAAGATCCAAAGATTTTTGGCACTCTGCCTGGTTAACACTCATTCCTGTCGAGCACCCTGGACCATCAACAAAATCAACATTGACATTGCAATTGGGTTCAAAATCCTTGGCTCTTTTACAAATAAAGTGGAATGCCTTGGCTTCATCATGAGTTTTGGCATGCCCCACAAGAGGGTCATGAGACAAATAAATGTGTGCAAACGTGCACAATTAAATGCTGACATGAAATACCTCCACGTTAATGAAACCACGCCCTCCCATCATAATTGATAAATGTAAACGATTATTTTTATCATGATTATAGATTAAGATAACATGCAGCAGAGAGAGGTTGAAAGGCTCATCATCTGGTCAGGTACCTTTGCTCCTCAACACGCTGTCCAGACAGCAATTTGGACATCTTTGAAGTCGAACGCAGTCGATGCTCAATATCTCGAGTTGAGGCGACCAACTTAACTTTACAATACAATGAAGAGAACTCAGACTCCATTGTTGAGGGACAATCCACCACACTATTTGCTCACACTGGTGTGAGGATGGAAGGTGACCTGGACATACACTCAACCGAATGAATAACTCGACACTCGTTAAATTGAATCACACAATTAGTAGTATGTGCACACACACACACACACACACACGCACGCACGCACACACACACACACGCACGCACGCACGCACGCACGCACGCACGCGCGCGCACTGGACAAAAATAGTTAGGGATATATGTAAATTTTGAAATTATGAATAATAATCTATTTATTAATTGACACACTGATACAATATCAATCATAAAAATACCAATATCCCTAACTTATTTTGTCCAGTATATATATAGAAAGAGAGAGAGAGAGAGAGAGAGAGAGAGAGAGAGAGAGACAGAGAGAGAGAGAGAGAGACAGAGACAGAGAGACAGAGACAGAGACAGAGACAGACAGACAGACAGACAGACAGACAGACAGACACACACACACACACACATGTAAAGAAGAGTTGCGTCAACACATATTTTTCTGAGTATCAATATGTTAGCATTAACCAAAGCCATTGGAATCTATTTGAACCTACATTTAACTTACTGTCTGGTTACACTGACCCTCAGATAATAAACTAATGGCAAATCGAAACACACGAAAACTGTGGTAGTATATCCATGGAAGCAAAGATGGCAAAACGTTGACTCATTTTGTAGTCCAGATAACTATGGTCGTGTGACATTAAGAAGTGCAGTCATTTTCAAGATTATGCCATATATCCTCAAAAATTCATCAATATCTGCTGTAACCTCCGCTACCAGCAATAGCATCCTTAACCCTCCTCCTCATTGCCTGTATCAGACTGTGAATTCAACGTTCAGGTATTGTGTTCCATTATTGATGGAGGGGTTGCTACAATACATCAAGTTCTCTCTGGTGTATTCTGCGACCCATAAAGTTACAACCACGTTCTGTGGGAATGAAGACATCAGATAGAGTGGCTACCATCTCTTGCAATAGGAATTCACCAACGGCACCTCATGATACCGTACTCAAGTCAAGTTTACAATCACAACCCACGCCATCAATGAACTCCCGCCGAACGGTACTTGATCCAGGATAATTCGTTGTGCATATGCAATGTTTCTGCACGAGCTCAAAGACGAGCTTGGCCATCCGTCATAAATACAACGGCTTTGTGGTCCTGTGCACAGAGCCCAGGTCACAAATACGTTGAAGTTAAGCAACGTTGTGGGTAGAGAGTCCTTAGATGGGTGACCGTGGACTCCTGAGAGTTTCTAGGACTTCAGTCCTCCCCACAACGAAGCACATGTGATACCTGTGGTCTCACCTTAGGCAAGTGAGTTTGTTCAAAATTGCCTCTGTTCACCCAGCAGAAAATTGGTACCCGTTGGGATAAGTACTGCAACTATAACCTTCTACCACCTACCAGGCAGCTTGAGCTATCCGGGGTAATAATGTACTGTGCTATTCACTGTTAGTGCTATGAGCATACCTGATGCGGAGTTATATATGGACACATTATTATTGTTATTTATTACTATCAAATATATACTAGTAACAATATTTAAGGGAACACTAAGATGTTTTGGTCATGGTGGAATTTATTGGAACTAAATTGTGACATTGTGTGAGCAAAGGTCAGTATCTGGTCCAGCCGCTTCAGGCATCAATGCATGTTTGGCATCTTCTGAGCATGCTTGAGATCAGATAGTAAATGGTCTCCCTTGGAATTTGACGCCATTCTTCTTGTAGGATTTGTCCGAGTGTCTGTAAGTTTGCTGGTGGCTGTGGTCTGCCTCAAACCCTGCGCCGCAAATCATCCCACAAATGTTCAATAGGTGAGAGATCTGGTGATTTGCCAGGCCAAGGTAGACTGTTTATCTGCTGCTGCAGGAGAAAGTCCAAAGCAACTTTTGCTCTGTGAGGTCGAGCATTATAGTCCTGGAACCCAAAGCTTCAACCAATCCTTTGCGAGAATGGAATCTGTAATGGTCTTAAAATTTCACCCAAATAGCGCTGGCCTGTCAAAGGTCCCTGCACAATCACAACATCAGTTCTGTGGTCATACATTATTCCACCCCACACTATTACTTTCACCACCGTGTCTCTCATGTTCTTGAACATTGACGTCATGATAGCGCTCTTCGCGTCTTCACCAAACCCGTTGTAGACCATCAATGAATCTCAACAGGAACCTTCACTTGTCGGTTTACATCGTGTACGGCCAGTGCCTCCTGTCATGATTACTAAACTGTCGAGACCATTCGAGTCTCAGCCTCTTGTGTTGCACAGTAAGTGGAATTCCACTGAATGGGTGCCTTGACTTTAACTGGGCAGACTTTAATCTGTTTATCACTGTAATGCAGGAAATCCGTATTCCGGTTGTTGTTCGGAATTGTCTGTGAGTTTCTGATGATGTCATGAACAGATTTCTAAGTGCAATTGTTGTAACGAAGCTATCTTGTTGGACTGTTGTCTTTCGTGGCCTTCCTCTCCCGGGTGGAATTGACACGTCACCTGTCTGTCGGTATCGTTCAATCGGACGGGACACTTTTTGTCTTCCCAAAATGACGTGCTACCTCGTTTTCATGTACCATGCAGACAACTTCCTATTGCTGATTTCTTGTTAAATAGACATTTGGAGGCATTTTGATACACAAATGTCACCATAACCTTGACAGGTTTTATACAATGATGATGCATGTGCAAATCATGCTTCAATGATAACACGATATCCTTCATGCTATCTCTAAGTCTGGTGAGTTTCGTTTGGATTGCTCATCAGGTTCGAATCCAGCATGCATTGTCTTAAACATACACGACTTAAAGTTAAGTTGGTCTTCTTATACAGGGGTTCCCATATATTTTGTTTCCTTATATTTTGTTTAAAGCCAATACGTTACGCAGCGTTTATAGATGAACACTTCAACGCCCAGACACTGCCTGTTAGTGTCAGTTACGTAAACAATAAACAGATCAATATGTCAAGTAAGGAAATTGTTGATAGCGATATATAATATTTTTTTCTTCAAATACTACTGATACTAATACAGCTCACATTTGTGGATGGATAAACCTTTGACAGTTATCACATAACGGTACGAATGCTTTTCTCATATTGTAACAGTTTCTTGACATCTGAGGGCTCCTCCGCCATACTGTGCTGTGATATCATCAAATCTTTCATCGTATTTCGTAAACCATGCATGTTCTTTTTCTTGGCAATTGTACAACTTTAAGGTATTAGAAGTATCACTGTTTGTGATATAAAACTGCCATGTCTCTTTAGACAAGTCATATATGGAGAATCCCAAAACGTAACTTTCACATTTGGTGTGCTTTGGTAATCACTCTGATTTGTTGAATATTAAATTTAAGTAAACAAATGTGACACCTCCAGAATGACACGAATAAACGAATAACACATGTTAATATAACTCTCGTTGGTAAATGTAGAAAGTCGTCAACTTACCGCCTGCTATGAGACGTGTGTACACGACCAGGATATACAGGTACAGCAGAGCCGCCATCGTCGGTGACATCTCGAGAAGGGATATTCGCAACACTAACACTAGTCAAATCAAGTCATCCTTTTTGTCATAACAGATCGTTGTGAGCGCCCTCTGACAGCATTCCCAGCACCAATGTTCCCCCACTTTGTCCCCTAAGTGTTGGTCGATATCGTCAGAAATATAACATCATACGTGTCTATTGCCGTGCACCCAGTTGCATAACAGTTGCAGAGTCAATAGTTAATTACGGCTTTGCTGAAGGCATCAGCGGTTAGAATGAGTAGAAAGTAGTCACGCACGTGATTTGATCATGGATTAGGACGTAAAGAAACTTGTTCCTATTGTACCTGGTGAGACGTTTAGTTAATTAATGTACATATAGAGTGGTATTGATAATGCCCAATGATTTCCATTACTCGTCTTTTGTCAGAAGAGTCTGGTATTGATACATAAACACAACAGTGCTACCTTTCAGAAAGATATTCCCACACTACCATAAACACAGCAGTGCTACCTTTCAGAAAGATATTCCCACACTACCATAAACACAACAGTGCTACCTTTCAGAAAGATATTCCCACACTACCATAAACACAGCAGTGCTACCTTTCAGAAAGATATTCCCACACTACCATAAACACAGCAGTGCTACCTTTCAGAAAGATATTCCCACACTACCATAAACACAACAGTGCTACCTTTCAGAAAGATATTCCCACACTACCATAAACACAGCAGTGCTACCTTTCAGAAAGATATTCCCACACTACCATAAACACAGCAGTGCTACCTTTCAGAAAGATATTCCCACACTACCATAAACACAGCAGTGCTACCTTTCAGAAGACATTCCCACACTACCATACACACAACAGTGCTACCTTTCAGAAAGATATTCCCACACTACCATAAACACAGCAGTGCTACCTTTCAGAAAGATATTCCCACACTACCATAAACACAGCAGTGCTACCCACACTACCACCATAAACACAACAGTGCTACCTTTCAGAAAGATATTCCCACACTACCATAAACACAGCAGTGCTACCTTTCAGAAAGATATTCCCACACTACCATAAACACAGCAGTGCTACCTTTCAGAAAGATATTCCTACACTACCATAAACACAGCAGTGCTACAACTTTCAGAAGTGCCCACACTACCATAAACACAACAGTGCTACCTTTCAGAAGATATTCCCACACTACCATAAACACAGCAGTGCTACCTTTCAGAAGAGATATCCCACACTACCATAAACACAACAGTGCTACCTTTCAGAAAGATATTCCCACTACCATACCATAAACACAGCAGTGCTACCTTTCAGAAAGATATTCCCACAACACTAGAAAGATATTCCCACACTACCATAAACACAACAGTGCTACCTTTCAGAAAGATATTCCCACACTACCATAAACACAACAGTGCTACCTTTCAGAAAGATATTCCCACACTACCATAAACACAGCAGTGCTACCTTTCAGAAGACATTCCCACACTACCATAAACACAGCAGTGCTACCTTTCAGAAAGATATTCCTACACTACCATAAACACAGCAGTGCTACCTTTCAGAAAGATATTCCCACACTACCATAAACACAGCAGTGCTACCTTTCAGAAAGATATTCCCACACTACCATAAACACAGCAGTGCTACCTTTCAGAAAGATATTCCCTCACTACCATAAACACAGCAGTGCTACCTTTCAGAAAGATATTCCCACACTACCATACACACAGCAGTGCTACCTTTCAGAAGACATTCCCACACTACCATACACACAGCAGTGCTACCTTTCAGAAAGATATTCCCACACTACCATAAACACAACAGTGCTACCTTTCAGAAAGATATTCCCACACTACCATAACACACAGTGCTGCTACCTTTCAGAAAGATATTCCCACACTACCATAAACACAGCAGTGCTACCTTTCAGAAGACATTCCCACACTACCATACACACAGCAGTGCTACCTTTCAGAAAGATATTCCTACACTACCATAAACACAACAGTGCTACCTTTCAGAAAGATATTCCCACACTACCATACACACAGCAGTGCTACCTTTCAGAAAGATATTCCCACACTACCATAAACACAGCAGTGCTACCTTTCAGAAAGATATTCCCACACTACCATAAACACAACAGTGCTACCTTTCAGAAAGATATTCCCACACTACCATAAACACAACAGTGCTACCTTTCAGAAAGATATTCCCACACTACCATAAACACAACAGTGCTACCTTTCAGAAAGATATTCCCACACTACCATAAACACAGCAGTGCTACCTTTCAGAAGACATTCCAACACTACCATAAACACAGCAGTGCTACCTTTCAGAAAGATATTCCCACACTACCATAAACACAACAGTGCTACCTTTCAGAAAGATATTCCCACACTACCATAAACACAACAGTGCTACCTTTCAGAAAGATATTCCCACACTACCATAAACACAACAGTGCTACCTTTCAGAAAGATATTCCCACACTACCATAAACACAGCAGTGCTACCTTTCAGAAAGATATTCCCACACTACCATAAACACAGCAGTGCTACCTTTCAGAAGACATTCCAATACTACCATAAACACAACAGTGCTACCTTTCAGAAAGATATTCCCACACTACCATAAACACAGCAGTGCTACCTTTCAGAAAGATATTCCCACACTACCATAAACACAACAGTGCTACCTTTCAGAAAGATATTTCCACACTACCATAAACACAACAGTGCTACCTTTCAGAAAGATATTCCCACACTACCATAAACACCGCAGTGCTACCTTTCAGGGGCCGGTTGTTTAAAACTCTGTTTACTTTTGACAGGTTGTTAACGTGACGTTAAGTTAACAAACCTAAGGACCGCCGCTAACTTTTTAACAGTGTGGTTAACTCGCAAATGGCGTTCATGGATAAAACTGCCTTCATGATGCCAGTTCAGCAAAGAAAGGATAGGGTGTGTCGTGGACTGGACTTCCATATTTGTAATTATTCTGGCGATGAGTTACATATGAAACTGTAACTATGCACATCATAGGAACTAAAATACATGTTGTATCGAGGAAATTATGTTCATCTACTATAGCGTTCTATAATACACTTATGAAATATAATACATGTTTTCCGACCTTGTAGTTATTAAAGGGGCGGCGGGGTAGCCTGATGATTAAAGCGTTCGCTTGTCACGCCGAAGACCCGGGTTCGATTCCCCACATGGGTACAATGTGTGAAGCTCATTTCTGGTGTCCCCCGCCGTGATATTGCTGAAATATTGCTTAAAGCGGCGTTAAACCAAACTCACTCACTCACTCACTCACTGAAGTTATTAAAATAATTATGCATTTTCTGCAGTCACTTGTGAATTGAACTAAATGGAGGTTCATCTGATTAATGAGTATCGAGGAAATTATGTTCATCTATAAATTAGACACAGCTTCATGGTTTTCAAGACATCTTTCAGGAATATGCGTCTGTGGAGGCGTTCAGATAATGACGATATTGCACAGTATTATTCATGAGATTCCTGTCAACAGTAAGGTCGGATAATAGATTGATTTTAGTCAGCAGTGTTGGCCCTGAGGCCTATAGTACAATTACAGTTTGATCTACTTGCACCTGGTGCTAGTAACATATTAAGATTCTATTGGCATTGAACGCATATTTCAGATAAAAAGCTAATGCTATTATTGTCACAACATCTATATTGTTTGATGTTAAAAGATTTGGCAATGTGTGTTCATATGTTACAATTTTTGACAGACTTGGCAAATAATTAATAAATGATACAAATAGCATCTTCACCGCTTGGCCATACAGTCATGACAATTTAAGGAGTGAAACGTGAGCGATAGGTCTTGTTGGAATTCAAAGATTCATTAGGACTGTAGCCGTCTAAGCGTAACTCCTGTCTGTAATATTTATAAATTTTCAATCCACGGACAACATGCTTCTACCATTAATATTATTTTTATGGATTCATCATATTTTATCTATAGCTGTGCTATGGTTTCTCATTAAAATGTCGTTTCTGTTGTCGGAATTGAAGTCAGTCCGACGCAGAGCTGGGGTCATATGTCTTTGAAATATATATATGCAAACGGCTGGAACCTTGTGTTCCAATACATAACGTTCGTAGCGCTAGACATTCGCATGCCTATGATAAACTATAGAGTTGGCCTGAGTTTGTCTCACAGTCCCTGAACCACATTATTTTCCCTACTGCGTAGCCCAATCTGCAGTGCTAAAGCCCTAGATTTCCACAGGTTCTGAATCTCTGGTCTCCAATGGGCTCCTTTTCAATTTAAATGGGCTTTGTTGCTATCAAAATTATATATATTCAGAGACTAGGCATATGTCTAAGTTGGCCTCAACCATTGACTGGATTACATTCTCTTCGTCAGCAGAGAAATTTCGACTTCTCTTTTTCCTTGGGATGCAGGCGACATTTCGCGTTTCCATTTTTGGAAAACCGGAAATAAACAGAAAACGGAATAGTGGGATATATGGAAGCTAACCAGTGACGTTAACCAAACTATTAAACTTTGACGGCGACGTTAGCTAACGGTATGACTTCCATGTTTTGAACAACGCACATTTAACGTTTGGTTACCTAATGGCCGGTTAAGGATTTAACCGTCTGTTAGGAGTAAACCGGCGGTTAAGATAACTGAGTATTGAACAATCGGGCCCAGAAAGATATTCCCACACTACCATGAACGCACATGCCATTAAGGGCGACTCAGTCTTGGTCGCAATAAGGTTGTGTGAAGCATGACCGTTGGTTTTGCGGGACAAACAACTGACCACTCCTGTGTAGGGATGACCACTCCTGGGTAGGGATGACCACACCTGTGTAGGGATGACCACACCTGTGTATGTATGGCCACTCCTGTGTAGGGATGACCACTCCTGTGTAGGTATGGCCACTCCTGTGTAGGGATGACCACTCCTGTGTAGGGATGGCCACTCTTGTGTAGGGATGGCCACTCCTGTGTAGGGATGACCACACCTGTGTAGGGATGACCACTCCTGGGTAGGGATGACCACTCCTGTGTAGGGATGGCCACTCCTGTGTAGGGATGACCACTCCTGGGTAGGGATGACCACTCCTGTGTACGGATGACCACACCTGTGTAGGGATGGCCACTCCTTGGTAGGGAAGGCCACTCCTGTGTAGGGATGGCCACTCCTGTGTAGGAATGACCTCTCCTGTGTAGGGACGACCACACCTGCAGGGATGACCACACCTGGGTAGAGATGACCACTCCTAGGTAGGGATGACCACACTTGTGTAGGTATGGCCCCTCCGTTGTTGGGATGGCCACTCCTGTGTAGGGATGGCCTCTCCTGTGTAGGGATGGCCACTCCTGGGTAGGAATGGCCACTCCTGTGTAGGGATGACCACTCCTGTGTAGGGATGACCACACTTGTGTAGGGATGGCCACTCCTTGGTAGGGAAGGCCACTCCTGTGTAGGGATGGCCGCTCCTGTGTAGGAATGACCTCTCCTGTGTAGGGATGACCACACCTGCAGGGATGACCACACCTGGGTAGAGATGACCACTCCTAGGTAGGGATGACCACACTTGTGTAGGGATGACCATACTTGTGTAGCAATGACCACACTTGTGTAGGGATGACCACACTTGTGTAGGGATGACCACACTTGTGTAGGGATGACCATACTTGTGTAGCGATGACCACACTTGTGTAGCAATGACCACACTTGTGTAGGGATGACCACACTTGTATAGGGATGACCACACTTGCATAGCAATGACCATACTTGTGTAGGGATGACCACACTTGTGTAGCAATGACCACACTTGTGTAGGGATGACCACACTTGTATAGCGATGACCACACTTGCATAGCAATGACCATACTTGTGTAGGGATGACCACACTTGTGTAGCGATGACCACACTTGTGTAGGGATGACCACACTTGTATAGCGATGACCACAACTGGGTAGCGATGACCACACTTGTGTAGCAATGACCATACTTGTGTAGGGATGACCACACTTGTGTAGCAATGACCACACTTGTGTAGGGATGACCACACTTGTATAGCGATGACCACACTTGCATAGCAATGACCACACTTGTGTAGCAATGACCACACTTGTGTAGGGATGACCACACTTGTATAGCGATGACCACACTTGCATAGCAATGACCATACTTGTGTAGGGATGACCACACTTGTGTAGCGATGACCACACTTGTGTAGCAATGACAACACTTGTGTAGGGATGACCACACTTGTATAGCGATGACCACACTTGCATAGCAATGACCATACTTGTGTAGGGATGACCACACTTGTGTAGCGATGACCATACTTGTGTAGGGATGACCACACTTGTGTAGCAATGACCACTCCTGCATAGCAATGACCATAATTGTGTAGCAATGACCACACTTGTGTAGGGATGACCACACTTGTGTAGGGATGACCACACTTGTGTAGGGATGACCACACTTGTGTAGCGATGACCACACTTGCATAGCAATGACCATACTTGTGTAGCGATGACCACACTTGTGTAGCAATGACCACACTTGTGTAGGGATGACCACACTTGTATAGCGATGACCACAACTGGGTAGCGATGACCACACTTGTGTAGGGATGACCACACTTGTATAGCGATGACCACAACTGGGTAGCGATGACCACACTTGTGTAGCAATGACCACACTTGTGTAGGGATGACCACACTTGTATAGCGATGACCACAACTGGGTAGCGATGACCACATTTGTGTAGCGATGACCACACTTGTGTAGTGATGACCACTCCTAGGTAGCGATGACCACTCCTGGATAGCGATGACCACTCCTGGGTAACAATGACCACTCCTGGGTAACAATGACCACTCCTGGATAGTGATGATCACACTTGGGACATATACAAGAACATGTTCAATATTTCCTTTTCTAATGCTTTATATATTTTCATTTCATTATTTCTGATAAGCATAGCCAACATTTCTGCACATTAGATAAACATATATGGTGATACAGGATCTCCTTGACGACAACCTCTGGCTATAGTGAAAAAGGTGCTAGCAAAACCATTTATAAGTACACTTGATCTAATATCTTTAGAACAGGTTTTATCCACCTTCATCTACCTTGGTAGCACCTGTGTCACGCTTCGCCTACATCGATGAGGAAGTGGCCTACAGAATCGTCAGAACCACCACAGCCTTCGGCTGACTGAAGGACAAAGTCTGGGAGCGACGAGGACTGAGCCAGGCTCAAAGTATACAGAGCAGTAGTTCTACAATCCTTGCTCTCTGCGTGCGAAACGTGGACACTAAAGTGCTCCAGCGTGCTATCCATGCTATCCTACTGCACGTTCAGCCCCGGTTGGCTTGCCACGTTCGCCGCATGGACGACTGTCGCCTCCGAAAGAGACTGCTCTAAATACGTTACCTCCTTGGAGCCCTACTTCCCGAACCTTTCTCCACTGCAACAAACTGCTATTTATTGAACAATCCCTGTGTAAGTCAATCCCTAGCCGCCCTTGTCTACAGAATGTACAGGCGCCGTAAACTTTATATCAACTGTTAGCTACCGTTTATCTTTTCATAATGTTATGCATTGTTTAATAGGTATGTGGGTGTGTCTATTTGAGTATATATACGTCAATATATTTTACATGTTCTACCAGCAAGTGGTCCCCCATCGTAGAAAATAGTGCTAAGTGCCAACACAGTAATGCTCTTTAGTGAAACAACTTTATTCGGGTTTCCAAAATTACCAGACAAATCATCAGATTTTGTCTGTCGATTTCAATGTGACTGTGCAAAATTTGGTTTAGTTGCGTTCGTTAGATTTTGTGTTAGTGAGCAATGCATCGGTCTCAAATGAAATCAAACGGACTGTACCTGATGTCAATGTCTTGTCTGTGATGCGTTGTTAGCAGTCTGACTTAAAAGTGTACTAATGACAACCGATGTTGGACAAGCAAGATTGCAGTAACCAATAGAAGCACCACGAATGTGTCAAGACTTATGCAAGCGCAACGAGATGAGTAAGGTGGAGGGAAGGGTGTGTGTGTGTGTGTGTGTGTGTGTGTGTGTGTGTGTCACAACGTCAGTTGGCAAGTACCTTCAACTGCCTCCAGGCCACCATCAGTAAATTGATAAACTGCTACCAGCAAACAGGCCAGACCCAAGACCGCCCGGCGGTGACAGCGCTCTCGTGTGCGAGCCGACCGCCGATTCCGTGGAAAAGGCTTCACCAGTCTACACCGTCAACGCAAATTGCAATGGGCTCGGACTGTATATAGATAAAAGTCGGTTCAGTCAGTTCAGAAACGATGTACTTATGGAACATATATGGTCATTGATGATTCCTGCTGACGCCACCCGCCGACTGACGACGTCAAGGAGGACATATGTGTTGGCGTGTATAGATTCCCGGACTGTTTTCACACTCGCTTTATATGACGTGTCCCCTGACTCCTGTCTTATCATGTGACTCATTAGGAGTCTACTCTTTCTTAATGAATTGCGGCAAATGCAAGACCAACATTACAATGAATTTTCAGTCACAATATTAGAAAACGATGTCTGTTTGTCATTTAATTATCATACATCTTACTTTATGTCTTTGTTTCTATTATTTGGTCTAGTGAAGTTGGTGACAACGTTCTTTTGCCCGGTAGCTCAGATAACAATGTCATTCCACGGACGCGGGGAACGCCAGGTCAGACATTATGCCATGTACACACCGGTCTACAATAGTAACGTTAACCCTATATCATTGTACAAGTAAGTGAGTGAGTTTAGTTTTACTCCGAACTCAGCAATATTGCAGCTATATGGCGTCGGTCTGTAAATAATCGACTCTGGACCAGACAATCCAGTGATCAACAGCATGAACATCGATCTACGCAACCGGGATACGATGACATGTGTCAACCAAGTCAGCGAGCCTGACCACCCGACCCCGTTAGTCGCCTCTTCGGACAAGCATGGGTTACTGAAGATCAATATTCTAACCCGGATCGTCACGGGTGTCATTGTACAAGTATCGATCAGTACCAGTTGTTCACCAATGACAACAGTGCGGAAGAACTGAATGAAAAGTCAATGGTCACGATATTTGTGTTTCACAGACATTTGACATACAGTTGAAGAATATTTCAGAACATACTGTCAGTGACCATTGTGATCCTCGTAGGATGTCCGGCATGTGGTTTGAGGTTCGAATGCTAGGCCCTTGGACATGTGAAGGAGATTTCAAAATCTGACGCATAATGACAAACACGATGCTCGATGCATTGGACTTATACCATACGTTCTCGAATTTGTTCAGGTGCATGTATTTATGACGGGTGGGACAGGATACGCTCACAATTTCGCCTGATACAAACACCTGATGTTATCATTATTTGACAGTGAGTACATGCTCTGTCATCGTATCTCACCGTGAATTATCTGGTCCAGACCCGAATGTTTACAGACCGCGTAGTATAGCTGTGATACTGCTGAATGCGGCATAAATGCACATACTTTGTTGTTTCTATTTACGCTTCATAAATATCTTCAGTTGGTCAAGGAGCTGAGTTCCTGACTAAATCATGTATATTGCCTGATAATCGTGCACAGCTATCATTTGTTGTCCTGTCAGTGTCACTATACAGAGTTATTCGCTGGCATTGTTGTTGCACATATAGTACATAACTTACATTTCTATTTCCAGGGTTGTCATTGAAGGTCTTGACACCAGGACAAACCATTTTGGTTGAATTTCAGAATGAAAATCTGGTTATTTTCGCCTTTAATGCCGAAAGAAAGCTGGGAAGGCAGTGGCCTCTGTCCCAGATCCCATCACCATCGTTGATGCACAGTTGACACAGTCGAGCCTATTCCCACAGAAGAGGTGAAATATGGACTCCGAGTTGTTGTCCTTGTACTGGCCTCCCCGGCAATACTACGAAGTGATCGGACCTAAAGCTTTTCATTATGACGATGTTGAGTTTAGACCAATAGGGGACCCCTATCCTGTTCAACCAGTACCACCCAGGCACTGAAAAATTATGAAACATATCTACTGTAATCTAACGACACCATGTCTTTGTTTACCTGAAGGGATAAGGCCTACATTATCAGACTGAACTGGCCAATAATTGTATCAGTCGGTGTTTTATATTGCATTTTGTCTTCAGGTTTCAAATCAACAAAAAACATACCACGTGTTTTCGAATGATGTATATTCTTCGCGGATCTTTATTTAGTAATCTGAACAAAAATATAGAAATTCAAGATTCAGGTATATCTTTGATCCAATATCGATCAGCAAAGGTTGAATACTGACTTATGCATTTGAACTTTTTGAAAGAGGAGAATCAACTATTAGCCCAAAATGGACCACGTAATGTCCATTTCCATTTTGAATTCTTCTGAATTGTGATTTGCTTTTAAATGAAATTATTGAAGTGTGCGGAGCATTGTCAATAGATGTTATATGTACAGTGGATAAATATAATGTCAATATGTATGTATTATATATATGAACAAATGTATTACACTGCATGTAATATAGAATTGTGAAGTGTAAAATGTGTGTGTAATTTAAAGAGGATAATTGAAAATAAATATCACAGTATAGATTAACCCTTTTTCAGTAACCCTTGTAATTGGGCGATATTATGATGTCTTAACAAAATGAAAATATATGAAATATCGCAGTTTCAGAACAAGTATTATCCAGTAACTTGGGTGATCTTATACCGCCTAAACGTAGTGACAGCTGATGCGATATTCAAGACAGCATACGGTCAACATAACATATGAATATAATGTACAATTAACCATGATGCCTTTGTAACAAGCGATAGAATGTCAATGCCAAGGATGCAACACACCTGCTACACAACAAAGTGGACACTTTTTTTCTTTACTATAGGTCAAAAACATATTACAAAAAGCGTTAAAATGGAAACGATGTTCAGAATCAACATTCAGTGCATACCTGAAAAAGTATCACATAATCAAGTTTAAACGTGACGTATATATTAATGTTTGCATACTGTATGTGTCTAGACAGTTCAACATGGTTTCGACGAACTACGCGTAAGATTTGGTCATAGAGCGTGTAAAGGTGTGGAACAAAAACACACGTAGTGAGTTACTGATTACATAATCAATAGCTTTCGGTAGAGATTCTGTTCACATGGAATTGGATTGAAAACCTTTCAGGAAAAGCTTAATGAATGTGCGTACATAAAATCACAAATGTTTTGGTGCGTAACGTCAAAATATCTTCATTTCACTATTTGTCTCAATCATTTCTTTCATTTTATGTATACATTTTAGAAAAGAAAACATCTAAATATATAGGATAAGGCGTTCTTCGTTGTGATAACTTGTACCCAAACCTTTCCTTGAGAATTAAACATATTGAAACTGAACAGAACATTTGAAACATTATGTTGCGGGCAGTGGGCCAGCAGTCAGTTTATCATGTTTTCATTTGTTCATAACAAAATTGCTTATCGATTTCAAGATTGGTGACGTGATTTAAAGAATCATAAATTAACTGTACCTTGTTTTGTCTGAAAAGAATTTACCTCTGAGAGAAATCTTACAGTTCGAACAATTTTGAAATCATATCACAAGTTGATTGTTTCACTTGAGTGGCTATTGCAGTTATATTACAGGTGTTTCATAGTGTGTCAATTTGATGTAGGATTAGTATCAAAGTGACACGGATCTCACACATTTACTACCTACTAGCACGGTGGTGTTGCAAACAGACGAAACATCACCCCAAACATATAAGTAGGGCAATGAGCTGTGGTGAATAATGTTCCAGTTTTATCATGGCAACCAAACATCACAACAAATATATAAGTAGGTCAATGACTTGTGGTGCATAGTGTTCCAGTTCTATCATGGCGACCAAGGATCATCTCAAACATATAACTAGGTCAATGACCTGTGATGGATAGTGTTCCAGCTCTATCATGGCGACCAAGGATCACAATAAATATATAAGTAGGTCAATGACTTGTGGTGCGTAGTGTTCCAGCTCTATCATGGCGACCAAGGATCATCCCCAATACTTCAGGAACATAACTACCGAGTCAGTCTCACTCTCCACTTGAGGCCGACATGCGGAGGTGATCCTGCAGGTGCCCGTGTTGCTGATGCTGTACAGCACGCAGGTCTGACGTGATGCACACAGCTCGGCGCAGCTCCCGGAAGTTGCCGAGTCGAGCTCCTCGACGTCGGGGTTACTTGCGGACAGTGTTGTGTCGTCGGCTGCTTTTTCGAAAACCATCCCTAGATTTTCTGAATCAGGTCGCCGTGCGTTCTCACAATTATCAACGGTCATCTTGTCATCTGTTTCAGTGGGTTGTGTTGTAGTCGTAGTGGTTGTAGTGGCTGTTGCAGGTCTTTCCAGACCACCTCTCTCTGTGGTTGTAGTTGTGGTGGTTGTTGTTGCAGGTCTTTCCAGACCACCCCTCTCCGTGGCTGTAGTTGTGGTGGTTGTGGTGGTGGTGGTGGTGGTGGTGGTGGTGGTGGTTGTTGTGGTGGTTGCTGATATAAAAATTAATTTACATTGTTAACGAGCACCTTGTGTAATAGAATTCCAGCACTACAGACGTTATTGAACATCAGAGACTACTGGATACACGTTACCGACCAACATATTATCATATGGTCAGAAAGGCACTTGGAACGTCATTTAAAAATGTTGTTACCATCACATCGAGTCGTATCGAAAGGTCTGTAGAGGCAATAAGAAAGAGTATGTTCATCGTAGGCGTTTACCCGTTTAATACTGCTGACATTTTCTCAGCACGTGCACTGACAAAAGAACAAAATTCAACAAGATGGATTTAGACCCTAATCCGGAATTGCAGTTACTACATGTGTTGCTAGGCAATGTGTCTCAGTAATAATTCCTGGAGTTGTGGTTTCAGCAGCAACTAAGAGACCATCTGTCTGAGTTGCAGCAGCTGTTGTAGTAGTAGTTGCTGCAGTAGTGTTTGCTGCAGCTGTTGTCGCTAATGTATAACGTAAAGATAGTCATTTAGTAACTTGTTGAATGGAATGGCATAACTGACATGGAAGTAAAAAACCTAGAATAATACAATTTATATCCTGATATAACAGGTTCGTTATTTTTTTCTAAAGACAATGTAAATTTTATTGTAACGTATAAACACTCCGTCAAGACCTAATATAAATGGCATTTCGTCATGGTTAACTGTTTCATGGAACAAAGAAAAATTCGCATGGCGATTGCATATCCCAGCAGCTTGGAAGTAAACCCGCGCTCAGCGGATCCTAAGTTTTGGAATGCGGGCTGACGTGGCTTCTACCGCTGGGCCACCCAGGTCGCTTCTATTTCAAACATGTAGTGATGTGCTGTCCTGACCTTTCATTTGATATTCTACTGCACTGCACATAGACGTTCTAAAATGGCAACAACAGCTACATGGTTTATAACACATATCAATAAGTCATCTAGCCTGTAGGAAGCATGAACTGAAAGTAAATACCACTTACAATCTTTCTGGCATCATTAATGATCACAGCAGCAATTAAATAATTTGCATTGTTATATGACAGTGAAATCTAAACAATATTGTAATGGTGTTCAGTGTGCGAACTAGTTTCCAAATTTGGCCAGTCAGCCTAGCTATGCCTGAACATTACTAGCCCACAAAATAATTCTCTAGCCCGAAATTTGAATGTAGAAAATAAGCAAAGGATTACAAAAATATATGAGAATCAAATATTGTTGGAATGACACGGTTTTCATCATTAATCTGCTAATATTATGAACATTTTTATCAGGCCATAATCTTGCATGTTTTAAAAGTGTATTATAACTTAACAGGTTGGAGAGAGTAATATATTGACAAAATCACTATATGAAAATTCACTAGCCAGTCCGGCCAGTGACGGGAAATTTACTGGCCCGACTGACTTTTACTAACCTCGGGCTAGCGAGCCAGTGGCTATTTCGCACACCGATAGTGTGACGTGGTTAGGGCTGTGGGCATGGGCTGGGTGTGGGCAAGGAGTGGAGTACAGTGAAAGCGATGTGAGCTGAGATGGTGTAGGCGAGGTGAGGTGGTGTTAGGTGAGGTGAAGTGATATGGGTGAGGTTGGGTTTTGTAACGTGAGGTGAGGTGCTGTGGAGTAACGTCAGGTGGGGTGGTGTAACGTGAGGTGAGGTGGTGTGGGTGAGGTTGGGTGGTGTAACGTGAGGTGAGGTGGTGTGGGTGAGGTGAGGTGAGGTGGTGAAGACGACTTACAAACTGTTCCAACATTATGTATTATATAAAATTGTCTCTGCTAAGAAATTCGTGCAACGCACTTACGGATATTACGACAGGTCATATCCGGGTCAACTGCTCTGCCATTGCGTGGTTCTAAAACAAAGAACTCATAATCAGTGTGAAAAGACTTGCTGATGCACGCTAACTTATCTAAAGCGCTTTATCTTAAACTTCTTCGTTCCTTTAACGTTCGCAAACTCCACTATCGCCACACACAAAATTGAACTGAAAACGAATATCATAAACCTCAACAACTACACACTTACACTAATTCCTCTTTAAGGTTCTGTGTGTTTCTTGTGGAACGTGTGACAAAGTATCCTGCCATGTTTGGTTACTGTGTGTTCTTCTTGTGGAACGTGTGACAAAGTATCCTGCCATGTTTGGTTACTGTGTGTTCTTCTTGTGGAACGTGTGACAACGTATCCTGCCATGTTGGGTTGCTGTGTGTTTCTTGTGGAACGTGTGGCAAAGTATCCTGCCATGTTGGGTTACTGTGTGTTTCTTGTGGAACGTGTGACAAAGTATCCCGCCATGTTGGGTTACTGTGTGTTTCTTGTGGAACGTGTGACAAAATATCCTGCCATGATGGGTTACTGTGTGTATTTTGTGGAACGTGTGACAACGTATCCTGCCATGTTTGGTTACTGTGTGTATTTTGTGGAACGTGTGACAACGTATCCTGCCACATTGGGTTACTGTGTGTTTCTTGTGGAACGTGTGGCAACGTATCCCGCCATGTTGGGTTACTGTATGTTTCTTGTGGAACGTGTGGCAAAGAGATCAGAGGAACCAAACCTTAGGACGATTGCAAGTTGGCCAAATTGCACGGAGGGTAGCCAATCATATTAATGTTCATGGCAGGACAATCTACCGACAGCAGGAACGGTATCAGGCCACTAACAGCATCCAAGACTGTTCATCACAACGTCAAGACCGACAGATAGTGCGCAACCATCTACAGGATCGCTTCGCTAGAGCCACGGAAACAATTCGCCAGACCATTGGGACTCACAAGAGACCCATTAGAGCCGAGACAGTGCGTCGACGTTTGCGCGAAACGAACCTCTGCTGTCACAGACCATGTCGTGGTCCTACCCTCAATGCTCGTTACCGCCCAAACCGACTGTAATGGGCAACTCAGCATCGCAAATGGCGTTATCGACAATGGAGAACTGAGATTTGTTCCGATGAAAGCCGATATTGTGTTTCGACAGCAGATGGCAGAGTGAGAGTATGGTGAAGGCGTGGGGAACGGTTTCCCAATGCGTATATTTTGAAAGAGACTCGTGGGGTGGTCCAAGCATCATGGTGTGGGCTGCAATCGGTCTGAACCAGTTAGTTGACATCGTGGTGTTCCAGAATCATGGTCCAGGATAAGGAAATGACGTGACAGCTGCTCGCTATATTGACCAAGTCATCAGACCCCACGTTGTACCACATTTTGAACGTCACAGAAATCACACCTTCCAGCAAGACGACGCTCGTGCCCACACTGCCAGAGCAACACTGGACTTCCTAAGACAACATGGCATCCAAACCCTACAATGACCCGGATTTAAGTCCAATAGAACACCTTTAGGACGATATTTGAAGAAGACTGAATGGCGTCCAACCAAGGCCGACAACTGCGGCTGGACTCGATCAGGCATTTCGCAGAGTATGGACCCAAGTGCCTCTGGCCTTCATCAACCGGCTCATTCATTCCATGCACAGTCATCGATGCCCAGGGAGGCCACACACGATACTGACTTTGAGGTATCTTAGCGGTACCAGTTTTTGGAGAATTTGTTTGTGTGAACTCTACACGTGCTTCCCGAAAATGTGTTAACCACAATTGTCAAGTTTGAACGCAATCCTGCATTTTGATTGTTAATTAGAGCGAATTAAAGTGTGTGGTTTAAGAAACCTCTATCGGTATGGCGTTTCTTTTGCGGTTCAGTATATTTTCAATTTCTCATTTATCTTGGCATGAGGAAATGAGGCCATCTCTGTACCTGAAACTGAAGTTGAATTTCTTGGCAATTAATCTGTTCTCAATAATTAATCATGGTTATGACCCTTACAGCCTAATAACAGTTGGGATTCGAACCCAACACCACAGGAATATAGCACGGAATGTAACAAAATATGTATTCCATTAATTGTTGAATTTTATTATTCGTCTCTACTTCGTTCCTTTTTCATTATTCCAATACTCACTGGTACACACCCTCTCCCGTCTTGGTGAGAGAGGGTGATTTCAGTTCTAGATGTTACTTACCAAATCTGAAATTCGCACTCGTGTTTGTATCGTCAGCTCCCATCTTCACATAGTCGATATGCTTGAACTCTGGATCAATGACCGTTTTCAATCCGTCGTTTCCGACAATGTCCCCCTCACCCAAATTGATTCTTCCCTCATTCCAAGATATCCAGAACGGTGTCCACGTGGAACCATTACAGGTGACAAGTGGTGTGATCTCGTGACCGCTGGTGCCCATGCCGTTATTGGTGCACAGTAGAAAATACGGAGGATCACAGTATTTCTTAATTCCAACTCGATACTTTTGCGAGCTGTCACGATCGATGAAGATCTCGTATTTGGGTAGGGGGAGACTTTTCTCAGGATACAGCTCCAGTCTGAAAGCTCCACAAAAGCCCACAGAGAATGTGAATGAACAGTGTCCCCTCATGTCCAGTCCATGGTCATCGGACCACACCAAATCTATTCCGACATCCGAGATGGTCACTGCAGCAAAAAATAATTTGCATTGTTATTTGGAAGTGAAATCTACTGGTAAACAATATTGTAATAGTGTGAAGGGGAGGGGCGTGGGCGAGACATCAGCGGGGCGTGGGCAAGGGCTAGGGAAAAGGATCAGAGTGAATTGAATGCGAGGTGAGCAGAGGTGGTGTGGGTTGGATGCGATGGAGTGCCCGAGGTGAGATGGTGTGGGTGAGGTATAAAGCGTGGTAATACTCTTTGATTTTGGTATCTTGTATTGAAAATGTTTGTATTGACAATTCTAAAACATGACCAGCAATGCCGAGTTTGCTCATGCCTTATGACCATCGCTTAAAACGAATATACATAGAAAACCTCACCCACTCAGCCATCACAGCTGCCACAAATATGGGAGTCTGACAACTGCCCATCTAACACACAACGTTTTCGCAATGTTATGGGAAGTTGTACATTGGTAACGTCATAAAACAACTTTGTCACAACGTTAGTATTACCTCATTTTATAACGACTAAACATTGGAGTGGATTTCTGCTTTGTTCACTACTGGGAAAACTATTCAACTGTTAACGTTAAATAGAATGTTAAGACAGCGTGAAATACGTTAGCATCAAATAACTTTAACATTGTGAGGACGTGAAAATGACGTATCACAACGCCACGTCACCACCGTGTGACAACGTATATGGGAGTCCACAGACAACGTGACAACGTTATGACAACGTGAAATTGTCAGCTGGGTGGCAGCCAAGATTATGTACCTTGTGTACCCATCTGTCATTAGAAAATAGGCACGACCCATATAGCCTGAGGCTTAGATTACACAATTCCAAATGCTCCTCTCTTTTTTTCTAACGAGATATCTTAACATATATAATAATGTGCCATCATTCCCTACCTTCTTGAGACTTTGTATAAAAATGCAAAAGTCATTCCCGTTTCCTTTTTATTACATTTGACAGAGGTAATTGAATTTTGAATTGTGTGTTGAAGTAGATCATTCGTGCAACTTCGCTGTAGGATTTCCATTCCGTTTTTCAAAAAACTAACATTCGTATACTAGTACTTTACTGACGAACTGTACATTACACAATGCATACGGTATATGGACCTTAATTGGATTTCACCAGACTTGGATTGTAACTTTAACAATCACTTTAGCTTGAGGGTGTTTCGTGTAAAGGGCATTCAACATCTGTTCTACGCACGCTGTGTACCGGATGTTGCAACTGTAGTGGGATCAACTCCCGCAGTCAAGGTTGTAGTTGTTTGACTTGTAGCAGCTGCAGTAGTGGTTGTTGCAGTTGTTGTTGTTGCTGAAGTAAATTAGGAACAGAAATCGTCACGCTGTACATAGTGTAATCGGATATCCCTACTCCGGACTTAAAGAAGACATTCAAAATTTGACAACTTGGAGTTACAACTTCTAATACCATTTATTGTGTTAAGACAGAATTTGAGATTGAGGCCAAAGAGCATGACCCAGTGATTCTGACCCGTACTAAGCTGACATACGAGTGTCCGGGGTGCCATTCAGAAAGGCGTGAAGAAGTGGCTTCTTCCACTGGGAAATCCAACTAGCATCTGCTGCAATCAGGTAATTAACGTTTTCTCGACATTTTGATTGGACACACTTCTACACTGCATTGTCCCCAAAGATTTGTCACTGATAGTCAGTGTTCGTAACATACTCACCCTTCTCTCGGCAGGTCATATCTGGGTTGTCAGGTCTGCCACGGCGACGTTCTAAAGTAAAAATGAATGCCTCTGCATCTCCACTTTATACACTGGTATTTTGTTCATGGGTCCGAAACACCGACACGCTCCTATTACGACCCTTTTACTGTTGACACATTACTCTAACTCTACTTCTCCTTAAACCATTAAAAAACAAAAGAAAGTATACATATTCAGAACATCTCGAATATGGCACGTTTTCTGGGGAGTCCATGAGACTGTTATCCAGAGTTACAACTATTATCTTAATAATTATAAGAAAAACCTGGATTCGGATCAAACATTGTGTCACGCCCGAGGGACGCAACCGTCTTAGATGTTCAGTTTTAGATGTTACTTACCAAACATATAATTGGCACTGGTGTTTGTATCGTCAGCTCCCATCTTCACATAGTCGATATGCTTGAACTCTGGATCATTGACATGTTTCAATCCGTCGTTTCCGACTAGGTCCCCCCTCACCCAAATTGATCATTCCCTCATTCCAAGATATCCAGAACGGTGTCCACGTGGAACCATTACATGTGACAAGTGGTGTGATCTCGTGACCGCTGGTGCCCATGCCGTTATTGGTGCACAGTAGAAAATACGGAGGATCACAGTATTTCTTAATTCCAACTCGATACTTTTGCGAGCTGTCACGATCGATGAAGATCTCGTATTTGGGTAGGGGGAGACTTTTCTCAGGATACAGCTCCAGTCTGAAAGCTCCACAAAAGCCCACAGAGAATGTGAATGAACAGTGTCCCCTCATGTCAAGTCCATGGTCATCGGACCACACCAAATCTGTTCCGACATCCGAGATGGTCACTGCAGCAACAAATAATTTGCATTGTTATTTGGAAGTGAAATGTATTGGTTAACAGTATTGTAATTGTGTTACAATTGTGTTTTGACAATGGTTAGTTGTCAGGAATGTATTACCATCTTATTTTATCAAGGCATAGAATTATCCGAAAGTATTACGCGTATAATATAACATTTAATCAAAACCAGCGGATTTGTGATGGTCATATTTTTTAACCCTGAATGTCCACCCTGGAGTGCAAATCACCAGGGACGTTATTGTTATTATCATTACCATTATACATACTCCTGTTTAACTTATGTTGATTCACAAGTTGAAACTACATAGTTAACCAGGAATGTGGGAAACCAATTAATAACCAAGAAATGTGCCGTATTTACCAATTTCATTTCATAATAAAGCAAGTGTACCCGTCAATACAAATCACTACAAAGGTATTACTATGGCAGCATAAATGTATGCGGCAGTACAAATTCAGAAGTATTTATAATGCAAGAGCAGTGGTTTTAGTAATGAAGGCAATGTTTGTAGATGTCACCTCTCAGCCACACTAATCCAACTTGCAACTAAGACTCGGCAGGTATGATCACCACACAATTCTGGTTTTCTGGTGACTTGAGATATAAGGTGAAACGACAGGCAATAACAAGCTCCCGTCATATACACAAATACAAGTTTCTAGACATCAGAAGATGGTTCTAGTACATTGCAGCACTTAGTCTTTTTGCCGTTCGCTTTGATGACAGAAAATTCCAAAGCCAGATATAAGGACGTTTGCCAATTGCATCCTGTCCAAAGGTCATGATTTTGGAAGAGACCCTCTATTTTAGTCGACGGTTGTTTATTTGGTACATATCATTACCTTGTGTTGACCAAAAGTACTGACCAATGAAGCTTTGTGCTGAGGAGTTTGTTGGTAATAACATTATGGATTAAGTGGCAAACAGAAAAGGAATGAACGAATCGCCCTGAAACATTCCTCTTCCGTTAGACTGGTTCTGAAGTCAGCACCTAACACAGTGAATTCATCTCAAATTGAGTTGATCAGCAATTCTGTACAGACTTAAGTGAAACAAGTAACCGCTCAGGAAGGTCAATACATTTAGGTTACTTCAAAATCCTTTCGAGAGGTGCAGAATCCAAAGCTATTTGGCACTGCGCTTGGTTAACACTCATTTCTGTCGAGCACCACTGGACCATCAACAAAATCAACATTGACATTGAAATTGGGTTCAACATCCTTGGCTCTATTACAGAAACTCCGGAATGCCTTGTTTGGATTATGAGTATTGACATGCTCCACAAGAGGGTCATCAGATAAATAAATGGCACGGCACACTCCTGATCTGCGTGAAGATATCAGGGTGTACCAAACCATGGACACCGATAACAGTGGGGAGTCGGGCAACTTTGTACTTGGGATGCAGACAAGAGATTTTGAAGGCCAGTTCCACATATTTAGCATGCTTTTCCTGAATCTTGGCAATCACGTTGTTGTCAAAAGGGGGACAGAAAAGTAGATCACATTAATACAATCTTCTTCATGATGTTCATTTATCTCAAGCTGAGGGGCTTTGGGGTAGCCTAGTGGTTAATGCGTCGGCTCGTCACGCCGAAGACCCGGGTTCGAATCCCCACATGGGTACAATGTGTGAAGCCCATTTCTGGTGTGATGTTTCTGGAATATTGCTAAAAGCGGCGTAAAACCAAACTCAGTCAGTCAGTCAGTATCTCAAGTTGAGGCAACGAGTAGCTCAGTAGATACAATGAAGAATCCATTCATGATTGACAGAGTGAATCCAGCACATTATCTGCTCACACTGGTTCGAGGATGGAAGGTGAGCTGGACATACACTCAACCGAATAAATAACTTGACACTCGTTAAATTGAATCACACAGTGTGCATTGATAGAAATATATATATACATGGAAAGAAGAGTTGCATCAACCCATATTTTGACAGACAGACAGTATTCAGTACTATTGGCCAACTGGCCCATGTTACAAATGTTGTCACAACATTTTTGTTGTCACGTGGTAAGAGAATAGAAAAACTATATTTAAACACTGTTTCAAACATTCTTGGAGAATACACATTTCAGAAATTTGGCTATGGCTTTAACGGTACATCTATTTTTGAATTCAACAAATTCATCAGTTACATACATATTTGCCATCGAGAAATCTTAAATATTTTATTCTCAAATAATTAAATTATGGACATTGTAGTAAAATATGGAATTCATCCTGAACTTGTCCGCTGTTATAATGGTTACATAAAGTGTGCTGTCTCTCAGCATCCTTGTTTCGTCTAGTTGCATTCACATTCAAATTATGTAGGGAAATTCAGAATTTATAAAAAAAATACCTTCAGTAACGTCTTATCGCGAAACAGGTATGCAATATACGCTTCAGGGTAGAGTCCTAATTTTACAAGACCATAATTAATAAAAAATGTGACGCTTGTACATTGCCTTGCCAATTTGGGACATAAATATCTACTTGTCTTTGCTTGACACATACAAGAACAGGTTTTCATCTCCAACGTTTTGGTATAACCATTCGTGTGAATACCCACAGGCAAAAAGTAAAAGATGGATAATTGAAACGTAGTTATCTGCCCCTACTGACAAGACGTGTGTGTGTACACGCTCTCGCTAAGCCACCCGACAAAAGCCAAACCAAAAGCTGTGAGTAGCACCTGACAGGACATATTGGTTTATTAAAGTGTTGTAAAGTCACCGTTACCGATGGGAATATCCCTTGACGTTTGGAGAGCGAGAATAGGAAATTTCTCACACCCACATGGGACCCGGCAGGTCGGCTATGTCAGCCCGTACACCCCGTACACGGAATGGCCGTGGTATGTTGACGTGGGCTGTCGACTCCTAGCTACATATGTGCTGCTTAGCTCCATATACAATGCAGGTTTCACTGTTGTGTCTACCTGGTCTAATATCCTACTCTCGGGGGATGTTGAACTAAACCCGGGTCCCACCGGCAAGGCTAGTCATGTTAGTGAAAGCGACTTTGAAGCCATGAAAAACGATCTTCAACAGGAGATTCGTGAAATGAATAACGAACTTACTCGTGACATTAGGGACATAAAAAGTCAAACTAGGAAACTAAGTAGTACCGTAAACGACATAAAGCGTAACATTCAGGATATACAGGGGGAACAATCTGTCCTCCGTTTAGATGTAGAAGCTGTTAGTGACCGTTTGGACAAACTTGAGTGTAATTCTTCTCGCCAGAGTGGCTCTGGTCAGAGTGATGTGACAGACTTGCAAAGTGAAGTTGAAAAATTAGAACAATATAGTAGGCGGAATAACGTTTTGCTATATGGTGTGTCCGAAAAACCTGAAGAAGTTCGCAGTGATTTGAGAGCCTTGTCATGTGAGATTCTGAATGATTGTTTGAACTCGGACAGTGTCCGGCTGTCTCCACAGGAAATTGCTGAAGCTCCTAGGATCGGACGTCGGTCACCAGAAGGTAAACGTAGCAGGCCAATCATAATCAAATTCTTTACCTCGGACTGTAAAATACGTTCTCTCGGACCACGGAACAGACTGAGGAGTAAAGGCTATGGGATCGCCAGTGACCTGACTCACAGACAGACGATAATACTTCAAGATCTACGAGCACAGAACAAACGTGGCTACTTCAGGAACGGCGAGCTGATAGTAACGGAGAACACGGACACCTCGAACGCAGGCACATCTAGCTCCAGTGCAGCGGAAACTCCTCATGTAAACACACCTTCCACAAGTACATAGGGGTGTGGTCACGCCCAGCTACACAACCCTACGACGTTGTGCTTAAGCAAACAATTTCTTTTTTGGAATATCTCTTGTTTCCTCAATAAACTTTCAGATACATGCTTTACCGACTACATCGCTGACTCAGATAATATCGGACATCCAGAAACATGGACTGTTGATTATGATTATGACCATATTTTCCATAAACACATATCTTACAATATCAACGCTCTTAAAACAGCTATAAGAGGAAGACCGTCAGGAGGTATAACTGTTCTTGTGAAAAAGTCACTTAATATTTATGTGAAAACTTCTAAAATCACAGAGAATGCTGTATTCTTGTTATTTGACAAGACCGCCTTTTCACTGGATAAAGACGTCCTATATGCCAGCGTATATGTAAATCCAAGTGGCTCTACCTGGTATACACACAAACAGATTAAGTGTGGTATCACACTATTCTATAACTCACTTGTTGAAGTACTCGGATCTATAAATAAAGATGTGCATGTGATTGTTGGTGGCGACTTGAATGCTCGAACGGGAACACTATCCGATGTCATCGATAATGATATCTCTGATATTTTAGGGGATGAGGATATGTCGTCGTTGAAGGATAGTGTGAACATTGAAAGGTCATCGTGTGATAATATTATCAACAGTGCTGGTCGTGTTCTGGTAAATATGTGTGCTTCTCTTAATATATGTCCATCCTAAACGGCCGTTGTGGTGCAGATTCCAGTATCGGCGACTTTACGTTAATTAATCAGAGTGGATCTAGTGTAATCGATTATATTATTGTATCTAATAGCCTATTTCCATATTGTAAACATTTTGAAGTTGTTTCACGAGCCGAGTCATGCCATCTACCGTTAACGTGCTCATTTCAGTCACGTGATCCTGCCACCGACGACAGAGCTGAAGGAGCACGTGCAATACGTGTGACGGACCGCTATGTATGGGACATAGAGTATCTCCAACAGTTCAGGGAGACCTTGTTGTTACCTGCTGTTGTTGACATATTTGAGAAATGTACACTACTCGTTGAAGACATTGATGAGGTTGTCACTCAGTTTACAGAAGCGGTATGTGAAGCAGCCGGTAGTATGAAGCGCCATAACAAGATTAGACTCATACAACCCGAACCATGGTTTGATGCGGAATGTAGATTCCATAGATCACAAAGGGAACGACTTCTTAAAGTATTTCGTCGTCGCAAAAATGATGTTCATCTAAATAA